CTAAGTCCCAGGGGACCAGCCAGAGCCTTAGGTGAATAATTTAAGCATTTAATTTATAATAAAGTTTGCAATAACCATTTCCTGTCCAAAACATTCCATTTACGTGGTTTTAAAGCTGCATAAACTGTTTTAAAGGCAATCTGCTCAATTGGGTGAGTTAATGATATTGAATTTGACCGGGCCAAACGTCACCGGGTGAGCATCCCGTCTATAATCACAGCCATCATCGCCGCTGTTTTGTGTAATGTAGATGCAATGCTAATCCCGAGAATAAAAGTTGTCATTCTCGGTTGGCTGACAGCATGCACCGGAGTCATCACCTCGCTAAGTCTCTCAGTGATGTGATTCCAAGATGACAGTGTAATAAGTGTTATGTGCACAAGGTAATTCAAAACAAATTTGGCTGCAAAAATGGATCGTCTAGGATAGTAAACTCCTGCCTTGTCTCGTCGTCTTTTAAGAGAATGTAATGATCCCTAAAATACCTTGTCAAGAAGCTTGTGTGGCAGGGGTCAAGTCCTATAAAATTTATCTGTTGCACCCCCCTCTTCCTCTAAGAATCCTAACTTGAGGGCTGAACATTTTCTTGTGCATATTGATACCCCAGGAAGAGGAACACAAAAGATGAGCAGGGAGCTTCTGGGAAGTCAAGAAGTTTTTCGGCATACAAATGTCTCTTAAGAACACCTCACTAGGCTGGGTTTGATTTATAGATTGTTTCCTCCTAGGAAAATGTGTCTCTTCTGCTATAAAATCCCCATGAGCACTGGAGTCTTAGTAAAATCTTTATTATTGGCAAGTTAGGCATTACAAGTAAATTATCTCAATTTTATATTACCCTAAGAAGTATGACACTATGTTTATTTTGCCGATGAGGAAACTGAAACTCAGAACAGTTAAATTGCCCAAAGCCCACAGCCAGGAATCCTACCCTGCCTTCATCCCACAATTACCGTCCCTGCACACTCCACCTCTGAGCTGTAAGAAAGGAGGAGATTGACCAGGAGCAGTGGCTCACACCTGTAATCCCAGCACTTTGGGAGGCCGAGGTGGGCAGATCATGAGGTCAGGAGTTCAAGACCAGTCTTGGCAACACAGTGAAACTCTGTCTCTACTAAAAACACAAAAAAAATAGCTGGCTGTGCTGGTGTACATCTGTAATCCCCACTACTTGGGAAGCTGAGGCAGGAGAATAGTGTGAACCTGGGAGGCGGAGGTTGCAGTGAGCAGAGATCGCACCATTGCACTCCAGCCTGGGCTACAGTGCAAGACTCCATATCAAAGAAAAAGAGGAAGTCACCTGGCTTGTGGAGGGTTTTATTTGAATTGCATTTGATTGAAAACTGCATGACATTGGGCTACTGTTTTCTTGGGCACAGTTGGCAGAAATGCCTTTCTGTGCAAGCCAGCCGTAGGCAGGGGGGACATTCTTGTGTGGGATGAATGGGCGGTTCTCAGTCACCACAGTGCCCCAGGCCTCCCTTTGGGGTTGCTACTGCTCTTCCCTCTGTAACCTGGGCAGTATGGATGTTGTTGCATCAATGCCATTTTACAGTACACAAAGCTGGACAGATTCAAAGCAGCTTTCCTGCTTTTTGTAATTGAGTGCATCTCAATACAGAGGAGTTCTTTGCGGCCAAGAATCCTTTTAGCTTTAGACTGATCCAAGCAGGTCCTTCACGCATCATGTTTTCGGTACCATTTAAACATCCACCCAATGGTTCTAGCATTTCGTTTATAAAATCTATCCAAGTAAAGCAATAGTTTCCATCACCTTGCTATAAAAATGAGCTAAAATGTACTCTTAATTGAAGAAGGACTTTCATTAATTCTTTTGCCCAGGTAGGAGAATGTCTCTAACAATGAATGAGAAAACATTGGTGCCTAATGTTACAATACATCTGTGTGATATTTACACCTGTTAGGATGTTTTGGACTGTAGGTAGTTAAGATCCAGGTCAACTGGCCTAAAGCATAAAGAATGTATTATTGAACATGACAAGAAGTTTGGGGATAAGAGGTTCTAAGTTTAGTTAATTCACTTACTCAGTGATATTATTGGGACCACAATTCTCTCATTTTTCTGCTCTGTCGTCCTCAGTGTGTTAACCCGGCCTCTGAGACCATAACCACATGGTCCCAAGATGCTGCCACAAGTTTAAGAAAACATGCAGATGACTTTCCTGGAGGCAGAAAAGGGCCCTCTCCTACCTCATGTCCTACTTGAAGGATGAACAAAACCTCAGAGCTTCCTAGCAGCTCTCCCGTCCCAGCCAGCCAGAATTATAGTGTATACCCATGCCTAAATCCATCATGAGGCAAAAGGACCAAGACCACCATGGTAGGAGGGAGCCCATCAAAATCCACTCCTCACATCTCCCCCAGAGGGATTTAGATGGTAGAAAGGAGACAAAGAGTTCTTTTAGCAGAGAGGAAGCATTGGGGTGACGATGGGTATGTGCTGCCCAGGCAGCTGCCATTGTCTGCTGTACTGTTTGTAAGACTTAATTATGTGTCCCTAAAAAATGTAGACCCATAGGTTCCTTTCTGGACATAACTAGAAGATTCCTGGATTCTAATTCACCATCCTCTCCTCACTTACCTTAGTGTTCATCTTAACAAGAACAGGAAGTTAAAAAGAAAAAGGATACCATAGTAAGAAAATCCCATTTTTATTCCCTTTTGGCAAAAGGCCTGGTATTTATATATAAATAGAGGAAGAACAAATTTGACACATCTTGTAGCACCCACTTGAAAATTCAGTGTGGGTATAACTAACATTGGTGCAAGCCATCCCCAGGGAATAAATACCAAGGGCAGAAGACCAGTGTGACTGATTGGCATTGACCACACCCACATCTCCAAAGGGTGCTATATGTTGCATTAATTTATTCTCAGGAACAAATTTACTGTAGCATTGTAAATTCCTGCATTATTTGACTCTTGATGTCACACATTTAATGAAAGATATGCCTCAAACTGTTCGGCCCCGGCATGAATTCCAAAGTACCTACCCCAAGTTGCTTTTCATCCTCATCTACACCCCAGTCCCTCCCATCCCAAGCCCTCAGCATTCTAGGGTCTAAGCAGGGAAGGGCTCACCAAGGGCAGTTGGTGCAGAAAGCTAGAAAGAATTCTTTCTTGTCCTTTTATTCTTTTCTCAAAGGGAGAAACATGGCAACAGTTGGAGTGTTAAACCCTGCTTTCCGAGTCCTCGAGGATGGGGAATTTAAAAGTTTGGTGGTGGAGACAGTTCCTTATTTACTAGCGCATTCGAGTCTCTTTGTGACTCAGAGTTCTTGTTCTGCCGAACTCCCTCATCATGTAAATAAATTACTTAAGTGGACTGAATCCAAATCATTAATAACCTCCACTGACATGATTCATTTGGGCTTCATTACAAGGAAAGAATTCAACATCTATTCCTCAACCCAACAGTTGTTTACAACGCACTTCAACCTAAGAGTTGTTGTCCCTACAGGGCCAGAGTGAAAAGGTTTAGGGGGGAAAAAAGAGAAAAACAGCTTTAAATCAATACTTATGTTCTGCCTGGACAGCGAGAAACTGAAGTGCTCTGAGGACAGACCTAATTGTCAGCCTACTTTGAAGTCCAAGATACTAAGGGAGGAAAATGTATATATGCCAGATGGGAAAAGGCTGTGGTTTGGTGTTCATTTTGACACTTAAAAATACATGCTAAAAACATGCACACTGCACGAATAGAATATTAATCTAAGAGATTTAAACTCAAGAATTTCTATTTGTAGTGACTTGAATGGGTCATTGTTGTCCAGAGAAGCTGAGCAACTTATGCAGTCATGTGTCCTGTGTAATATGATTTTTATACCATCATTTTACATTTGCTTTTTAAAAGCCAACCAACCACTTGGTGAATACTCTAATATTAAAATTTTGTGGAGCCTGATACATTTTATGCAGTCCAGACATAAGATGTTACCAGACTTTCTGCATATAACTACCTGAACATAGTTCCTTTGTTCTATGGGGAAGGGAAAATGGAGGATAAAGTAAATCATTGAACTTGCATCTTACTTGGAATGACTTCGATTTTTAGAAATAAGATTCTGATTTCTGTTTCATTTTATATAAGCTGTTCTAAAGATAGCTGGGTTGAGTGAGTTTTGATTGTGCCACTGGGGAGAATCATGGACACAGTAGCCAACGTTCTGACCCACCATGAACTAGTAGGGTCCTCTCATGAGATTTATTTGATGCTGTAAAGAGGGAGATGATTTTACTGTCAGTCCTGCCCACTTTACAGGGCTATATGAGAGAACTGTTGAGAGGTATCTTCATTTAAGCCATGCAGCAGACAGCAGTCACTCAGTAAGTGCAGGCTTTGAGGATGCAGCAATAGCAAAGCGCTGTACACACTGGGAAACAAAACAGCAATTAAGCCAGCAGTCACTTCCTCCAAACATTAGCCATTTGAGTTCCTTCTCCGTAATACTTGCCGTAGGCCCCTATGGCCCGAACTATCATTTACTTAACGTTTTCCATGGACTTTTTAAAGAAGAGCAAAAGGATTAATTTTAAAAGGAAACTTCATGTTACTTTTGTGAAGGGAAGACTGGTATCATCTGACACAATCTGGAAAAATACACACTATTAAAACATAACAATGTAATGAATTTCTAGTTAGCTATTATTGTCTGATAAAGGCTCGGAGCCTGAGGCTGGCCTTTTCTTTCACAGACAAGATTAACACGTGATGAAATTGTTAAAGACATTCCAGGGGGAAGCCAAGCCTTCCTGCTGTGAGATTTATTATTTCATGCCAGATCTGAATACCTCCAAACTCACTCTCTTTCCACCAGGCATTCTTTGAGAAACCTAAACATAGAGAACTAACGTTCTCTGACACCACCACATGCTTCTTTCTTTTAGCTGCTTACACATGAAAGCAGCCAATCCATGTATCCATCCTTCCATTTTCTGCTTAACTCTAACCTTGTCCCACCCTAAATATTTTTTCACAGGTCAACGGCAAAGACTTATCCAGAGCAACTCATGACCAGGCTGTGGAAGCTTTCAAGACAGCCAAGGAGCCCATAGTGGTACAGGTGTTGAGAAGAACACCAAGGACCAAAATGTTCACACCTCCATCAGAGTCGCAGCTGGTAGACACAGGAACACAAACCGACATCACCTTTGAACACATCATGGCCCTCACGAAGATGTCCTCTCCCAGCCCGCCCGTGCTGGGTCCCTATCTCTTGCCGGAGGAGTAAGTAACATAATCTTGAACCCCTAATGCATTAGGTAAAGAAGTATTTTGAAGTTGGTTTTTTTCCCTTCCATGTGGCGAAAAAAATTAATGCACCCTATAATTTTCCTCCAAGTTGTCCATGTTTAACTTTACTGTTTATAGAGGCAATAAATCGAATCCTGCTCAAAACCACTCTGACATATTAATTACTTTATTATAAGCCTGGAGCAGACTTAGGCAAATTATATCCTAAGAACAAAATTACTTACAAATGTTGTAAAAGTTGTTTCAGAATAAAATTTAATCACCCCAAATGGTAATTTGAAGATCCTGTAGTTATTACTAGAAGGAATGCTGATCATTCTTTTAAATAGACAACAAAGTAAGTTGTGTGTATCAAGAGAGCCCTGGAGGTGGTGCCTTCTGCTTTCTTGGGTCTCATTTCAAGCCTGGATCCATGTAATAAGCCCGCACATGCCTCATCTAAGTACTGCATCAACCAATTAAATAACAGCTGCAACTCGGCACGCCACATGGATTTCTTTACACACACCTCTTCTCTAACCTTATTTCTGCCAGTGACAAAGAGTCATTCAGAGCCTTCAAGTCAGACAAACTGGATGCTCACACTGATTTCTAGCTGTGGAACTTGGGTAACTTGTTTGATGGGGTTGTATTTTTCCTTTATTAAAATGGAGATAACACTATCAGTCTCTTATGATCGTTGAAGGATTGAATGAAACAATATGTGGGAAGTTCTCACGGGGCATATGGTAAGCACTCAGTAAATGATAGTAGCGATCACTGTTAATTTAGTGGCCGGTGTAAAATATTCAGGAAAAAATGAAGAGCAAGACACTTTCTGTGATAGACTGCTGGCCTCCAAGGTGTCCAGTCTGACATAACGTTTAACATAGCTTTTCGTGTGTGACTTTGCACATCTAAGGACACAAGCTCTCCAGCTGATGTTAGGGTCGCCCCTGTGTTTTCCCACATCAGCTCCATCTCAGATCAGATTGCTGGCTTGATCATTATTTACTTCAAAGGGCATTTTCACCTCTTACAAGAAAATCCACTGGATAATACCTGTTAGATTCCTATTAGTAACTTAGTAGCTAGAGTGAGCACATGGTTCCTGTGGTTTTTGTCAAGTTCTGGATGAAGGCTTGCCTTTCATTCCATGGTTTTAGTGGCTAGTTACCATTGGAACCCAGGGATAATTCCCTAAACATGACAAAGTAGGTTTGGTGGCAGCTGGTAGTGTAAAGACAGAGGACAGGGCATCCGTCTCACATTCACTCACAGTGTGTGTATGTGCAAAGAACTATTATCTCCTTTATTTCTCATGACTGTCCCTTTATACAGACGAGGAACTGCAAACTCTCCAGGTTCCACTGAGCTGATGGAAAGCCTGGTCAGGTGGACGCTGACTCCCAGCTCTGAACCACAATATCGTATAGTGGCCCATTCGATCCTCTAGAACAAATGGCTGATTCACTGAGTATGATTATCCAAACCATTTATCTGACATTATAGACCAAAGTGCCTCACATTATTGATGAGGCCTTTAAAGCTACTTCTGATTCTCAAATGTTGTTGACCTGTCAGAGTGACGGGCCTTTTAGAAGCCAAATCTGTAATTTCCTCTTAAGTCTGGTTAACATGACATGACTTATCCCCTGGGGGTGACTTGAGAAATGTCAGAAGAGTCCAGAGGTCAGGCCTCTTCAGGTTCTGGCTGCAAGGTCAGGCAACAGCAAGAGCGTGCGTTGGGACTGAATGGGGAATGTTAAGTTGATGCCTGAAAGCCCAGACCTTCCAACAGTATCCTCAGTACTAAAAGCCCTTTAACTGCACGCAGTATATTTGCCTGATGAGTCCAGAAAATCGAAAGCCAGCTCTTGTTTGATTGGCCACTCATGTCTGATCTGTTGTTTCAAAACTAAGTGCTTGGGAGGGAAGACCAGAGCCCATTGATTGCTGTGCTGACCTTTGAGAATGTGAAGGTTTGGGTCCCCCGCCAACAATCAGAGGCTGAAGCTTTACATCTGGCACTGTGGACCATTAAGCTCCTTTCAAAGCTGCTGATGAAGCATATTATGATTCCCACTGCCTTTGCTCCTTGAGGTTCCATTAATGACGTTTCCAAAGACGTCTTGAGTTCTGTGAATTATGTTTTGCGTATGTTGTCCTAGGGAAACACAAGCTTAAAGTCTCCTATCAGAATGAGTGTGTGTGTACACATTATATGTAAACATATACACACATATGCACTTATGCCTACATGTTTGTATGTACATTTCAATCACGTAAATGCATGCTGCATTGTGATATCAAACATGTTTATTATTGTGGGTAACATTCAAAAAGACATTGCCCTAAGTAACAGCAGAGCAGTTTGTCTCAGCCTTTTGAATTGATCTCAGAGGCCAGCACGTATCTTAGACTGTTGCCTGAGCTCGAGCCTAGTTCTCTACAAGGACAAAATCTAACAATGAAGCAATAAGCAGTAAAATATGATCCTGTCTCCTGCGTAAAGATGGAGTTAGAAATTAGTCATGTTGAATCACGTAACTGGCAGGCTCCAGGATGGGCTCTGCAAACAACAAAGCGCATCAGACTGGCACCTTGCATTTCAAGTCCTTCCGGAGGAAATGGACTTAAAGGCAAATGGTAAAATTAGGATGATGGAGGTTCTGACTGTGTGAGAGCCCCATCCAGAGGAAAGTGAGCCATGAAAGGGCCCACACCCCGGGAATTGCTACTGTGCCACTGGCCTGACAATGGGCGTAAGGGAAACAGATACTGACAGTGGAAGCAGGGCTTTAAAGATGTTGCATCTCTTTTCAGGCATCCCTCAGCCCATGAATACTATGATCCAAATGACTACATTGGAGACATCCATCAGGAGATGGACAGGGAGGAGCTGGAGCTGGAGGTAGGAAGAACGTCCTTGCCTCATTTTAGGAGTCATTATTAAGAACACAGAATGCCTAATAAGTTCTCTATAAGCATAAATTAGTTTATGGATGCCGATGGAAAATAACAAAAGCAGAACCACTTTTACTCATGCCCTTTGAAAGGCCCAACTAAGGTTTTCTTCCCTCCCTGGAAACAGAGCTTAATAATCAAGTCCCAAAAGCAGAAATGTAAGTTTTGTTTTTATTTGAATCACTTAAAAGATAGGACAGTAAATCTTGTTGTCAACCTTTGAATCCACATAATGCATACATTCTTGTATTCTTGCAACTGACATAAGTCTCCTCACCTTCCTCCCTTTTATGTCATCAACACTGTTTACTCAAAGGCAGATGGCTCAAGAGTAGATAGATAAATTACTTAAGTGAATGCTAGCCCCCTTCCCCCTGCCAAAAAAAAAGGATCTGTCTACTGCTTCATTTGCTTCAAGTTTTCTAACACTGATATAGAAGAAATTAAACAAATCCGTAACTCCTCTTAAGTGTTATTTAAGGCCAGGCAGGAGAAAAGATTCAAGATGCTACATAGTGTCAAATCTCTGTTAAGGTTTAAAATATTTAGAGGATACCAGGTTACCAACAGAGTTCCACTTCCTATTTTCCTTTTAATAAGGGTGGTAGAAAATACAGAAAACACTAACTTGCATAGTATATTTATATTTTGGGGAAAACACTTTTATATTTCACTGGGTTTTCAAAAATATATAAGAGCATATTTGAAAGCTAATTTTATGGAATAAGGTAAAAAGACACCTGTTGTTGACAGGTAAGCCCTTGGGCACCATCGAAAGTTCACCCAGGAAAAATCGAACATTTTATCCAATTTCATGGCCAGCTGTTGTGTCATCTGTGCTATCCTGCCAATACTTCTGAAGTTGAATTGTTTAGTGGCAGTAGATTCCGTGCAAGGACAGAAGCAGTCGAATAGTAGAAAACAACCGTGTTCCTCAACTGAAAGTTACCAAGAGTTCTCATTCCAAAACAGAAGTTAAAAATCAGTAAATGTGTGCAAATGACGACTTAACTGACAGTACACTATACCCAGATAGAGTCCAATCAAAGTACTTGTCGCCAGTGGCATGACTAACTCAATGCAAGTTTTAAAGATTTAAAATTTTCCCTAAATGCACCTCGTTTAAACAGGAACGGGCTCTATTCTAACTATAAGCGCTTTACTGTTTCTGCTTGCGGTCAGCCACTTACCAAAGCACTTGTCATTTAATGATTGCTCCAGGAAATGTAGCCTTGTCGTTTGCAAAAATCAGGATTCTGCCTCTCATTTAGTGTCCTATCACCCCAACCTCAGGGCTGTTTGGTGAAGAAGCCATGACTCCTTCGGGACACTTGTTCCTTAATTTGTTAATGTATGTTCCTTCCAAAGGGGGTTCATGATCAAATACATTTGGGAAATGCTAGATTGAAGAAAACTAAACAGATTTCTTGGAGGACTTCTGAGAATCGTGACTATCTAATTCGCATGGGTAAATCCCCTGGAGGAGTGGACAGACTTTCCCCTACCTCTCTGGCCAAGTACCTGTTTATATCTCCCCAGTCTACAGTTCTCTGGAACACTGTTGGAGAAACACTGCTCTCCAAACAGAAGGGCTATTTAATAATCTTTATGGGATGACACTGCTTTTTGATGATGTAATCATGGCTAAGTAGAGCTCCTTTAAAAAGCTGTCAAGTGTCTCAGAAGCTGGAGTTATGAGGTAGTAGAGACTTTGCAGTCTTTGGTATTTAGTTAAACTTGACTTTATAGCAGTGGATTCTTTAGCCCTTTTTTTAGTTTCTAATACCTTTGAGAATCTGACAGAACTTACAGTCCCTCTCTGGAAAAATGCTCCTGTGTATGAGAGCTTGCACGTGGCTTCAGGAGAGTTACTGAGCCCCCACAGTATCTCCCCAATTTGGGCCATTCTGCCTTACAGTTTTTTGTTGTATCTGAGTATCACCAGAACTCTGATGTGCTTTCTATTTCCCTTTAACTCGACTCAACTTATTTAAACTACAGTAATTTTATTTTAAAGGAAACGTTATACCACTGCCTCAAGCAGAAAGTCAGCATCCATTGCCTTAAATAGAAAATCCCATACAATTAAATACAGTGGACACGAGCCAGGGTTATTAAATCCTGGTGCTCAATAAGGGTGCCTGCTGAGGGCTGGGAGCCTGGGGCCACTACATACTGCCTTTTCTCTAAGGAAATTAGCTAGTATTAAAGAAGTGTTAGGACTAGCCCAAACTGAGTCTTTCTCCCCTGAGTATGAAGCATCTGAGAGCATCCTGCCTTTGGCAGGAGGGAGCCATTCAGAAACTGTTCCCTAGAACCCTGTTGTTCAAAGTGTGGTAGGAGGACCAGCAGCCCAGCTGGTCAAAGTAGAGTTCTCAACTGGCAGATGTGGGAACTGCAGAACCTTGGCACCCCAGACCTTCAGAATCAGAATCTGCACTTAAACAAGGTCCCTAGGTACCCTGGTGCCCATTAATGCCAGAGGACCCCTGATCGACAGGCCACAGGCCCAGGTAAAGAAGTCCAAGCTGTCATTTCCTCTTGTTTTCATGAGTCACACCAGCAAGGCTTTGGTGGTGCCTTTCATTCACTGCAGCGTAGAGGTCTGCCCCCAAATCACGAATATGGCCCACACTGTCCATGTAAAGTTATCAGGGCCTAGGAATGACTGAGCCCCTGGTAGACATGTGACACTGTGTTCCTAAGACTGCTTTTCTCTTTTCCTGAATAAAAGCAGAGACAAAGAACCTAGGTATTTAGAAAGCTCGTCTAGTATTAATATTTTAAGCCAGATCTTGGATGCCATCAGACTTTATATTCATGCTTATTTTCAATTCTGTTCATTTTACTGCATATCTCTTACATTAAATATAATGTTTGGTCCTAGAAATGCAAAATCAGGAAGTCACCACTCTGCCTGCCCTTAAGGAGCTCACAAGCCATTCGGACCGCTAGACATTAGCTTTTCATTTCTTCTTAACCAGAATAGAGGCATTCTCCATCTCTAGCCCCTTTGAACGGTTACCATAGAGTACTGTGAGTTGGACATCTTGCTTTAACATTTATTATTTGGTCTTTTGTCCACAGCAACTTAGATGTCACCAGGTCATTTCTGTTACCTAAGCACCTTCTCTTAAAGTGAACCTGGCAGTTTTGGACAGATGTCGTTCTCAGTTCCGTGGTTGTGATGGCTGAGGCCACCTAGGCTAGGAACGTATCAGACGTGCCCTACTGCAGCCACTCACCAGAAAGGTCTGTCCTCTAGAGAATAGTAGCTGTGCCTCCAGCATTACTCTCTTTCACAGGTGTGCTCTGGTCAGTCAGTTGGAGAAGGTTAACTAATAGACCCCACATGCTGAGAAGTGAGTTTTCTAAAGTCGCCCCAGTTTTCATGTGCCTGTCATCCCTGCTTCTACACGAGATTTCTTAGAACAGTTACAGTCTGTCTTCTCGATTCCATCCTGTTGTGTTCTAACTGCTGGGTTCAATTTTAGAAAAAGCAGGCTGTTATTTAAGTAAAGGGGCCAATCTCAACAGACCACTCATCATCTAAATTGAATAGGACTAAAGTCAGCACCTTCCAAAGAACAACTCGTTCCATGGATATTATATATGAGGAAAATATGTATGAGTGTGTTGGGATATTGAAACAAATGCACAAAGAAAAACAGATGTTCTGGCCAGATACAGTGGTTCACACCTGTAATCCCAGCACTTTGGGAGGCTGAGGCAGGCAGAACACAAGGTCAGGAGTTCGAGACCAGCCTGACCAACATGGCAAAACCTCATATCTACTAAAAATGCACAAATTAGCCGGGTGTAGTGGCACATGCCTGTAATCCCAGCTACTTGGGAGATCGAGGCAGGAGAATTGCTTGACACCGAGAGGCAAAGGTTGCAGTGAGCCAAGATCATGCCACTGTACTCCAGCCTGGCTGACAGAATAAGACTCCATCTAAAAAAAAAAAAGGAAAAAGTAAAAACAGATGTTCTCTCTTTTAAAGTACACAAAATGATCATATTTAGGTAAGTGTCAAATCCCTGTTATTATGAGACTGCTTAGAGTTAAAGGGATTACACCCAAGTGTACCCCAGAGTTGAGCAGACAAATAATTACCCATAAATTTTCAGGCACTGAACACCTGCTCTAGATCTTCCTGTAGGCAAATGAGAAAGAAAATACATGCCCAAAGAAGGCTTTTTCTTTTGTCTATTGTTTTAACTTCCCAGGCGATTCATCAGTAGCATCCTATGTAGGCTGTGAAACTGCTGCTCCATGAGACCTGGGCTCTTTTCTAACTCATTTACTATATATTTCTTTTGCCTAGACCATGTCTGGCATATAGTAGGTACCCAGGAAATCCTTGTTACCCTATCTCAAACATAAGGTCCCCGAGAGAAAATGCAGTCTTTAGAGATATTTCTATATCCCACATAGCACCATGACTAGATACAGAAACTGATGGCTGGGCATGGTGGCTCACGCTTGTAATCCCAGCACTTTGGGAGGCCGAGGTGGGTGGATCACAAGGTCAGGAGTTCAAGACCAGCCTGGCCAACATGGTAAAACCCATCTCTACTAAATATACACAAAATAATTACCTGGATGTGGTGGCGGGCGCCTGTAATCCCAGCTACTAGGGAGGCTGAGGCAGGAGAATTGCTTGAACTCAGGAGACGGAGGTTGCAGTGAGCCAAGATTGTGCTACTACACTCCAGCCTGGGCGACAGAGCTAGACTCCGTCTCAAAAAAAGAAAGAAAGAAACTGTTGAGATAAATGTGCACAGCAACCTGGACCAAAAAATTGAAGAGTTATGCTTCAGTCGCCAGTCTTCCTGGGGTGGACAAACCATTGAAATTGGTCTTTGAGATCCCATTTGATTAAAGTAGCTTATGCTGAAACAGAGTTTGAATCAACAAGGTGGAATGGCCCCCTTAATACTCTTAATTGGAATATCGTTTCAATTTAATCTGAAATGTTAGGCTTAGCTGTTCGTTTTTATCAACAGTCCATCTAGACTAGTAGGCAACAAGATACCAGTAACGGGGTAGCTGTAATCCAGATAATGCTACTGCATTATTCATACCAGTTTGATTAATAGTCTACTTTGAAATCTTATCTCCATCAGAGATATCTATTGATAACCTCTATGCTTTCAGCAATATGCTCGATTGTGTAAGACTAGATCAGAGTCACAAAGAAATGTTGAGAATTTACAAACCACCTAATAAGTTTGAGGAATTTTACTTTCCACTGAGCCCAAAAATACTGTGTCTTGTTTTAAAACTACAGAATGGCTGAGTTTTGTGGAAGTTCAATGACTTGCTCAAGGCAGCCTCACTCATTAAAGACAGAGCCAAATTGGTTTTTCATTTGGATCATCCTGCCTTAGACTCTCAAGCTTATTCATTCAATTTCACTGAGCACCTACTGTGCACAGCATTACAGGTCTAGACACTGCTTTCATTGCACAATTCATTATTCAGCTACTATTGCCTTACAGTAATCTTCTTTATAAGAAAACAAGGTAAACCATAAATCCATACAGATCCAGAGACAATACCAGCTCTTACATTGTTGTTTTTCAAGAGCTTCTGAAAACCTATTATGGATCACTCTGTGCTTAACTGTCAGCAACCAGATTATTCTCTGTGATGTTGAACCATCCCTTAGAAATTAAATGACCGAGGCTAAGTCGTATCCTGTGCCTTCTAAATGAAGCTTTTCTGGCTTTTGTTTAGAGTTCTTAAGAAGGGCCAGATAAGGCAAGGAAATATTATAGCCCACACCATCCTATCTCACATCAATGTCAAGTAAATACCTAGAGTAAGCTCCAGAATACCCTTTGCTTTGTTATTGCTGGAAATGTGCTTCACCAGCATTTGTTCTTCCAATATCACTCATCCTTTGATAACACAGACCTCTTCTGAGATAGAAAACGGCTCTCACAGTGCTACCCTTGAAGTAGAACACTGCCATTCTTTCATCTGTTTTAAAGATGAAACTGAGAACATGGCTGACCCCATGATGGTTTGTCCTGAGAGGATTTGTGATGGGAGTCAAAGGCTAAACGCAGTGTTGGGCTTTACACCATTCTGCTATTTTGAGGGAGTGTGTTCTAAAAGGAACACTAACTGGAACAGAACTACTAATGGACCCTCTTCTCTCCCATGCAAAAATGTCAAACAGCATTCATGGAGAATAGATTACTAATTTTCTAAACATGTGAAGTTAGCAGCAGCATATAAAAAAGTGTATACGGAAGGAAGCATAAGTGGTTCTTGATTCAGATGAAAATATCTTAAAGCAATAAGTGTTTTTAATACCTTCTGTTCTAGCCTGAAACTTTGTTCTATGCAAGTTTTCTCTCTGACTAGAAAAAGTCATAGGTTCGTTGAAGGAATTGACAGATTCAGAAAGAAAACAGAAAAAGTAATCATGATTAACCACGTGAGCTAATGTCAACAACTCTATAGTTTAATAGTCCTCCAAATCTCCGTCAATCAAAATATGGACAAAAGGTAGAACAGAAATGCATTTCAGGTTAGGTTTTATCAAACTTGTATTCTAAAGCCTTGTGATATCAGCCCACCTACATGTTTGGTAGTACAACAAATAAATCTAGTTGTTTTCTACATAACAGAGCATCACTATCACATTCTTTAGTGGCCTTTTTCCTACTTGAATTCTCCTCGTACCTTATGCCTCTCAAATGGAACACTCAGATCTAGAAATGTATTACAGAGCTGTGATTGTCAGATTGTGCTGAAAAGCCACAAGGACCAGGTTGGCTGGTTTATTTACTTTTCTGTCTGTCTCTGACCAATACGTGTTCCTACTGTGTGTGACTGTGTAACTTGCCCCATCAGCGGGGCACATTCACCAACACCTGAACTGGTCTATGCCTTGTACAGTAAGACAAGTCTGTTAATCATGCTCTTGGTTACAGTGACAATGTTTAGCTGCTATAGAGGTTTCTGAACACTTTCCCTCAACTTCTGTGTTCACGTCGTCATGACCAGGAAGCATGTTTTGAGTAACAGCAGCAGAATAATGTCCAGTCGAACTATAATATCTTTGTACTTCCTTGAGAGATAATCACCTTGGCGGCCAGCCATTCAGAAAAAGCTGCAAATTGAATTATCAACATTTCTCATCCTACAATCTTTCCACTGCTCTCTCTGCTTGGGTTGCACGTGGACCTGTTCCAGCAAGATGTGGCTCCTGCAGGGATAGCACGGGGCTAAGTGGCAGCATATGAACTGCATCTGTGCAGTTGGACCTAAACAGTCATGGTATTTTGTTGATTTACACTGACCTCGAGGAAATGTCAAAACTGAAAAAGTGGTCCCTCTTCTGCATACTCAAATGAAGCACTAAGAGAGACAGGGGGATGTGTATGAAACATAAGAGGATGATGTATGACTAGTGTATTTGTGGTATGCACATTGGTTATTCATAAGTATTTAGGCTTGCTGTCACGGTTAAATATGACCCTTAAACCTGTGCTTAGCGTATATCTCAAAAATGAAGAAATCTCCACCTAACTCCATTATCAGAAATTTATGGGGTTTCATTTAATGAGAATTTACCATATTGCTAGAGCTATAATTAAGAAGCTATTGATTTAATTAACATATCAGTGTTCAGAAAATAATCTTATTAAGTGGGTCACTGAAATATACCCACTCTGCCACAAACAACTTCTTGTGACTTGAGGCAAGTAACCACACCTACGTGTAATGATTATACCACCAGTGTCTGTGGACTTTCTGCAGGCCAGTTAATGTGCTAAGAGCTCTGTGTGCCTCATATTGGTGATTCTGGGAGGCAAGGTGACAGGTACTAGTGAGGACACAGAGCCTTAGGTATAATAAGATCAAGCTGCTAGAAAGAGGGAGAGTTGGGATCTGAACATCTGTGTTCATAGTTCCAACTCTTCCCCACCACATTATACCCCATATATCAGCAGGAGAAACTACTGAAAGTCATTAAGGTCATGGCAGTCATCACTTAAAACCTTTTCATGAGTTCCCATGATGCTGAAATAAAATCTTAGTTGCTCATCCTGGCCACCCTCAGCCCACTTCTCTCTTCTTGCACACAGGGCTCTGGCCATGCTGGCCCAGGGCCTTTGCACCTGCAGTTCCTCCACATGGGAAGTGTTCATGGTGCCAGGCACCCTGCCTTTCATATGGGGCAGAGTTCAAGAAGTATCTGCCATATAACTGCCTTGAGCTTCTCCACACAGATAGCTGCATCCTCCCTCCCCTCCAAAAAGACCCTCAAGAGAGGCAACTTGGAAACAGTCCCCAGATAAAAGTGGCGTGAAGACCCCGTATCAGAGCCCCTCCATTCTCCTGCTTGATAGCAAGTAACACTAAAAATTAGACCAAAGGATCTGCCAGAGAACTTACCACGTGGCCCTTCAAATAGGCCTGCAGCTTAGTGCTACAAAAACTTGCACAAGTCATTGGCAAAGTGGGTGAGGAGTGACTTAGGCTGGTTACACTGAAAGCCCCAGGATGTCCAACAGTTTCCAAAGTTCTGACTTCATTCTGAAGCGCAGACCAATTGGCAGATACAATAGCATGTGTCCCGAATTTGGGCTCACTTTGCTTTTATCTTATTTAATTTGCAGTAATAGCGGCTGAAACTAATTTCTCAACTGTAAATATCACAGCTGTTGTGGAGAACATTAGTTGCACACTATCACGTTACCCTCCTTTCTTGGATCTATTTATGTGTAATCTGTTTGCAAGCTCTATGACTGAATATTAAGGGAACGCAATGTGAAATAATCTAACCAAACACATTGGAAACATTTGTACTGAAATGGCTGGGTGGTTTGGGGTATGGAAATATTCTTGTCTGTGGCAGACATTGAAAAAGTGCTTTTGAAAAGCGCTGCCCCAGAAGTCTTGATGCTGAGTGAAATATGGGTAATTTTTCTTTGGGGGATCAATGAAATAACTATTTTCAAAATGACTTTATATTGACTGAAAGGTCAGAAATGCCCTAGGCATTGATCCTGTGTCCATAATCACTTTTTGTTTAGTAAGTTAAGCAGCCCTACACAGCTGAATGCAAAGAAATCCAGTTCATCATTTAAAGAAAATATTTTCAAAGCATTTGACATCCCCTCGTGTTGCCTGCTGGAGTCTCACTGGGAATGCCTTTCTTTGCCTAGGAAGTGGACCTCTACAGAATGAACAGCCAGGACAAGCTGGGCCTCACTGTGTGCTACCGGACGGACGACGAAGACGACATTGGGATTTATATCAGTGAGGTACAAAGGCTGATTTTGTTCTTGTAACGATCATATCAACACCAAAAGGTTTTTTTTCCTTTGTTCACCAACCCTAACCCACCTCATCAAGAACTCTTTGGAAAGACACAGACAAATTATTCTGTCCCCCTCATCACACTCCATGGCGTTGCATCTTTCCACGGAGGTTAAGTCCTAATGTCAGTACTTACGGCAAAATTACCCTGGAGAAGCCTGCAAATCAGCCATAAAATGGAGCCATTTACATGATTTTGTGTGTTTAGCCCCGAGGGAATGGCAGATTCACATTTCCCAACTCATGTTCATGGAGTGGAATGGGGATAGAATCACTTACACTTTTTAAAGTCTCTCTCTCTCTCACTCTTTTTTTTTTCTCCTCGTGAAGTATATATAGTTGAGTTCATTTACGTTAAATGTGATTTTTATGTACTTATCAAACTACATAGATGCAGACTGTTTTGATCTTCCTTGAGAAGACAATACAAAGCAACTGATTTTAGTATGGAAACTTTACAGTGCACACCCATCCTTGCAAGCACAGAAACCCAATTTTGTCAGGAAATAAAATCTGTCACTACAGAATGAACTACTAGACTTAATAATTATCTTTTTGGTTGTATGTCATCCCCCAAGCTTCAGTTAGCCCAGCCTTTCTGTATCTGGGGGCATCCCTCCCTTTATCAGTCCCCCCTTGTCTCAATTATATTTTTTAAGTTATTTTCCAAATTTTAATACAAGTATTTGGCATAAAATAAGGTATGGTTGCTAGTTAACATGATGAAGGGTTATCATTGATTTGATTTTAATAGCCATGCATACAACAAAGGTCAGCTGTGTCCCCTCAGCCCGCTCAGATTGGCAGAGCCGGCACCCTCTGCTGTGTCACAGGGTGGCTAGACAGGCATCCAAGAGCTGGCCCTAGAAAGGGCTTAGAAGCTGATCAGCTCATATTTGCCTCTCCTTACAAGACACTAAGTCTTGTTTATTTCTGTGTAAAACACAAACACAGGGATGAACATGACTGTGTGTTAGAGATGGCTTTGGAAAGCGCTGTTGCTTATTTTCATGCATGTCTGGGTTTGTGCTGAGATGGTCCATGTGTGTTTCAGATTGACCCTAACAGCATTGCAGCCAAGGACGGACGCATCCGAGAAGGAGACCGCATTATCCAGGTAAGTCCACGTTCAAACAGTGGCCTCATAATGTGCCTGTCACTGAAGAACAAACTGGTTCTAATGATAGGTCTAAGGTTGCAAATGCAGGAGAGGTTAAAGAACAGGGATCATAAATGCAGATGTGTAATGAGGCCAGACAAGTTAAACTAATTGCGAGGCTAACTCTGAGTCCTAAGACGCAACAGGGAGTGGTAAGGACTGAGACAAACTAGATGGGGCACGTTCTCTCAGAAGACGGCCTTGTAGAATTTCAGCCAGTTCACCTCATTTTCTTTCATTCTTTTTGGATCAAAACAAATATCAGTGAGCCAAAATCAGACCAACAGTTTACAACTTGTAAACTAAAATAATTCTCATTTTAGATTTCTCTGAAAGATTAACTTTGGACCAAGTGTTTCAAGGTCTCGTCCATAAAATGGGAATCTTTTTGGCAAATTTAGCAGAATCAATCGAAAAGTCTTGTAAAGTTTCTGACTCAACATCTAATACTGGAAATGCTTCTAAGGGTAATTACTTGACCTCAAGCCCTGTTGTTCCTTCTAGTCCAAAGGAGACCATTCATATCTCTTTTTGGCAACAACCTTCTTTAATCTCACAGAATTGAGATTCCTGGCTTCACTGTCTCCGCAAGGCTTAGCTTTCTACCTCTTCTGATCTGTATCCTCTCATTCCTAATTCACTGTGTTTTTCTCATTTCATGTCTCACTATGAGTCATTTTGATTTCCTTCTCCCACTGCCTACTCTGGGTTTCTCTCACCTTCTGCCAGAACCTGTGCTGCTCAGGATCACATACCCTAGGAAAGTGACCCAAACCTTCACACCTGAAGGATCAGGGTCCTCAGCATTGCTGCCTTCTTGTTGTTGCTAGAGTTTTCCATTAACCTTTACTACTGAGAATGGAAGTTCTCAGAGATACTCCAAGGAATGCCCTGGGTTCCAGACACAATCCTCCCTGCCTCCACTGTGTCACAGCAAGTCCATTTCCCCTTGGTAATTGAGGGCAATCACTCCAACCAACAGAGTCACCCCTTTTACTACTCGTTGGCTCACTGGTGTAAGGAGGCATGTGGAAGGCTCCACTCCCAATTCAGTGAAACCATTGCTGTGTCCCCTGGAGGTGGCATCCCACCAGGACTAAGACCTCCAAACCAGCAAAGTTCAAAGTCACCAGGACATGCAAGTGGGTTATCAAGTGTGATAGTGAGAGTGTCACACCCACCTGACCCTCCGCCTGACCTAAAGAAGTTACAGTGTCAAATTGGCGGCACAAAACACCATGTATAATTCCATTCCTTTTTCTTAATCTCAGTTTCCATAATGTTGACATCATACCCCTTGGTGCTTTTTCTTCTATATTATCCAAAAATGTCGACATACACTCCTGCCTGAGTATGATGTCTAATTGCTTCCATGTTCCCTCAGCACAACATTATGATTTTTCCTCAGTGCTGTCTTCTGGAGGTCCAGCCCCTTCTGTTCACACTTCCCCATCACAATCACCTCATGAACTACATTCATGGAGCCTCTCTCATAGACCATTGGTCTGAGCAAGACATTTCCTTCCCAAAATCAGTACTGTTTTTCAGCTACAGGGAAGGTTTATGTTCCAGCTGTGAGTGGGTGACAAATGCAGGTCTGAAATAAAGTAGAATGATTTTACACCATCTAATCATGCTATTTATCTCCCCATTCCCTTTATTTATTTATTTTTTAAGATTAATGGAATAGAAGTGCAGAACCGTGAAGAGGCTGTGGCTCTTCTAACCAGTGAAGAAAATAAAAACTTTTCATTGCTGATTGCAAGACCTGAACTCCAGGTAAATCGGCTTCCTCAAAGATAAAACTGGATCTGTACTTCTAAAATCAAAAGCTCAGGTTCCCAGACCTGCCAAAGAGCACCTGAGTATTGGCTGTGAACTTGAAGGTGCTTTGTACCCTGGAAAGGTAATCAAACTTGCTGTGACTTAGAATCAACTTTATGATTTAGCTATTTAAGGTTGGTTAGATACCCACCCTGGCATCTATACTGCAGGCCCACCAGGTTCGTTAATGCAGGGATCATAGGGAGAGGAAAAGGAACAGAATGAAATGGAAAACACAGCGGGAATCATGACCGTCAAGACATTTGACTTCCCAAGGGCTGACAAATGTTCCAGCCATTTACAATAGCAGAGTATGGGGAATTAAAAATTTCTCTTTCACCCAAAAACAAAATATTGAATGTTAAATAATAATTAAAATTGATATGACCACCGAGTAAGTGCTAGGCCCTCCGTGGAGCGCTTTACACACAGGAGAGCCTTCCCAGGATATGAAGTTTCCAGAGGTTCAGAAGTTACCCAGAAAGGCCCAGAGGAGGGTGATGGAGCAGGGAGGGGTTCAGGCCCAAGTAATCTGATTCAGAAACCACTGTTGTAATAACTCCTTCCACAGAAGGAATCATGAACTCTCCCAGGTAGCACTCCTGATCCACTCAGAATAGCTCCATCAACACATCTAGGGCAGTACTAGTAGACCTCTTTAGGTACATGTATAAGTCAGTTTTCATGCTGCTGATAAAGACATACTCAAGACTGGGTAATTTATAAAGAAAAAGAGGTTTGACGGACTCACAGCTCCACATGGCTGGGGGAGGCCTCAAAATCATGGTGGAAGGTGGAAGGCATGTCTTATATGGCAGCAGGGAAGAGAGATTGAGAGCCAAGCGAAAGGGGTTGTCCCTTATAAAACTATTGGATCTCATGAGACTTAATCACTACCATGAGAACAGTATGAGGGAAACTGCCCCCATCAATTATCTCCCATGAGGTCCCTCACACCACACATGGGAATTATGGGAGCTACAATTCAAGGTGAGATTTGGGTGGGGACACAGCCAAACCATATGAGTATGGAACCCAATTGAAAAAGTCACCTAGGGACAGCAGCATACGAGGCATCTGATTCTCCACAGATGGGAGCCTCATGAGCTCAAAGGGAAGTTCAGCAACGATCTCACAGGTAGTCACTGACTGACTTTTTCTTAAAGGGCAAGATAGTAAATGTTTGACTTGGGGGACCATACCATCTCTGCATCTCTGCCATGACTGCCAGCCTCTGCCACTCTAGTGCAAAAACAGCCATAGACAGGATGTCAATGAATGGGCATGGTTGTGTTTTGATTAAACTTTCTTTTTTTTTTTTTTTTTTTTTTTAACAAAAATAGGCTGGATTCAGCCCATGAGCTATAGAGTGCCAACTTCTTAATAATTCACTCTTTTTTTGGGCAAGGCAGATAAAGGCCTTTTAAAAGTGATATCCAGCCAGGCTCTGTGGCTCACGCCTGTAATCCCAGCACTTTGGGAGGCCCAAGACAGCAGATCACTTGAGGTCAGGAGTTTGAGGCCAGCCTGGCCAACATGGTAAAACCCCATCTCTATACTAAAAATACAAAAAGTAGCTGGGCATGATGGTGCATGTCTGCAATCCCAGCTACTCGGGAGGCTGAGGCAGGAGAATCGCTTGAACCCAGGAGGCAGAGGTTGCAGTGAGCCGAGGTCAGGCCTCTGTACTCAGCCTGGGAAACAAAGCGAGACTCTGTCAAAAAAAAAAAAAAGGGGGGGGCGCTATCCTTGCCCTAGCCAAACAGCTAGTTACTGTATCAGAAAGAACTCATTCCCCACTAAAAATAGTGTCTCTATGGGACCTGTTAAACTCCTGTCTGGTCCAGCAAGCAGGGGGAACAGCTAGATCTACCTGAGCCTTCTACATGGTTGTCTTACTGCACTGAAAGTAGCTGAGATGGATGAAAGAGCTTCACCCTGAAAAATAAAATCATAGCTATTAAAGACTTCCTCAGATGTAGTGTAGGGTTGGAGGTCTCTTTAATGTGAGGGTGGGGTAGTTTCCTAACTTATGGCAAATCACTGGGCAGACTGCATTTTGATGACTCTTGGAGGAAGCTCTAGAAATATTTTTCCCCAAAGTAATGTCATTTTTTAAAAAACATAAATGAACATGAATATGAAGGCAACTTCTAAGTCATGTGTTGGCTGCTCTTGCCTGCAGCTGGATGAGGGCTGGATGGATGATGACAGGAACGACTTTCTGGATGACCTGCACATGGACATGCTGGAGGAGCAGCACCACCAAGCCATGCAGTTCACAGCTAGTGTGCTTCAGCAGGTAACACCCACGCACCAGTCCCTGACACTCTGCCCTGCTGAGCTGGAGGGCAATATGCTTCCTCCATCCCCTTTATGGTGCTAAAGACCATCAGAAGCCCATCCGCCTGGAAGACAGCAAGAAAACAGCCTTAAATATTTTTCTCTTTGAGCACCAGACCAGTGAAATGCAAGCTGGTACTGTCCCTAGCCAAGCTTTTAAACGTAAGCAACATTGCTGAAGCAAAGCTGACCTTCTGATAATTTGTTTGGAAAACATATGCATCGGCATTACCGTAGATTGGAAAAAGCCATGTTTTCCACAGTAAAGCAATCCCCTCTGTTTAACCTGAGCTGCTTGGAGCTCTATAGCTCCCTACTATGCTACTACATTGTGAGAGTCTTAATGAGCCTTTTATTGAGTTCAGTATGAGCTAAACAGGGCTCTTTATACATCCTTCTACCTGTGTACTGATTCATTAATCAGAATCATCCATTGAGATAAAGTGCCTATTATCATCCTCATTTTACAGATGAGAAAACTGAGGAGAAGAACAAGAACAAGTGACTTTCCCAGGTAGATATGGGTAGGTGTGACTAAGGTCCACACCTTTGACCTGGTCCTACCATCAGATGCTGCCCCTCAGCCTTAGAAATGTACAGCTCGGCCTATCCAGAAACACTGCAGGGGAAGGTCACACACAGGTACCTGCTGCGCTGGCCTCCCTTACCTTTGTTCTTGTTGTTTTATGCAGAAGAAGCACGAGGAAGACGGAGGGACCACAGATACAGCCACCATCTTGTCCAACCAGCACGAGAAGGACAGCGGTGTGGGGCGGACCGACGAGAGCACCCGCAATGACGAGAGTTCGGAGCAGGAGAACAATGGCGACGACGCCACCGCATCCTCCAACCCGCTGGCGGGGCAGAGGAAGCTCACCTGCAGCCAGGACACCTTGGGCAGCGGCGACCTGCCCTTCAGCAACGAGTCCTTCATCTCGGCCGACTGCACGGACGCTGACTACCTGGGGATCCCGGTAGACGAGTGCGAGCGCTTCCGCGAGCTTCTGGAGCTCAAGTGCCAGGTGAAGAGTGCCACCCCCTACGGCCTGTACTACCCTAGCGGCCCCCTGGACGCCGGCAAGAGCGACCCCGAGAACGTGGACAAGGAGCTGGAGCTGCTGAACGAGGAGCTGCGCAGCATCGAGCTGGAGTGCCTGAGCATCGTGCGCGCCCACAAGATGCAGCAGCTCAAGGAGCAGTACCGCGAGTCCTGGATGCTGCACAACAGCGGCTTCCGCAACTACAACACCAGCATCGACGTGCGCAGGCACGAGCTGTCGGACATCACCGAGCTCCCAGAGAAATCCGACAAGGACAGCTCGAGCGCCTACAACACGGGTGAGAGCTGCCGCAGCACCCCACTCACCCTGGAGATCTCCCCCGACAACTCCTTGAGGAGAGCGGCAGAGGGCATCAGCTGCCCGGGCAGCGAAGGAGCCGTGGGGACCACGGAAGCCTACGGGCCAGCCCCAAAGAATCTGCTTTCCATCACGGAAGATCCCGAAGTGGGCACCCTTAGCTATAGCCCGTCCCTGAAGGAGCTGGACCCCAGCCAGTCCCTGGAGAGCAAAGAGCGGAGAGCCAGCGACCGGAGCCCGAGCCCTACGCCTAGCCAGAAGCTGGGCAGCACCTACCTGCGCTCCTACCACCACTCCCCGTACAAGCACGCGCACATCCCGGCGCACGCCCAGCACTACCAGAGCTACATGCAGCTGATCCAGCAGAAGTCGGCCGTGGAGTACGCGCAGAGCCAGATGAGCCTGGTGAGCATGTGCAAGGACCTCAGCTCCCCAACCCCGTCGGAGCCACGCATGGAGTGGAAGGTGAAGATCCGCAGCGATGGGACACGCTACATCACCAAGAGGCCCGTGCGGGATCGCCTGCTGCGGGAGCGCGCCCTGAAGATCCGCGAGGAGCGCAGCGGCATGACCACCGACGACGACGCGGTGAGCGAGATGAAGATGGGGCGCTACTGGAGCAAGGAGGAGAGGAAGCAGCACCTGGTGAAGGCCAAGGAGCAGCGGCGGCGGCGCGAGTTCATGATGCAGAGCAGGTTGGATTGTCTCAAGGAGCAGCAGGCAGCCGACGACAGGAAGGAGATGAACATCCTCGAACTGAGCCACAAAAAGATGATGAAGAAGAGGAATAAAAAGATCTTCGATAACTGGATGACGATCCAAGAACTCTTAACCCATGGCACAAAATCCCCAGACGGCACTAGAGTATACAATTCCTTCCTATCAGTGACTACTGTATAATTTTCATTTCTGCATTATGTACATAAAAGAGACCACTACCACTGGGGTAGAAATTCCTGCCTCGTTCAATGCGGCAAGTTTTTGTATATAAGATAAATACGGTCTTCATGTTTATAGTCCAAATTTGCAAACCCTACAACTCGGGGTGTCATAGGTCTATTTTAAGGGGGGAGAGAGAAAAAAAAAACACCCTTACTATCTTGGAAGGCAATATTAACAAACAGAGCTTTTTTCAAATAAATAGCAATTGTACTTTTCTACCTGTACCCTTTTACATAAAGTGTTTAAATTTCAGAAAGATCTTTTATTAAGCATACTTTCACAGAATAATTTGTTTAAACTATATTCATATTAAAAAAAAGTTAAACACGCTTTTTTTCCTGCCTAAAACACAAGTACAACTGCCAGTATGTATTTTTAATGGAACCCTATTTTATAATGTTACGTTACTGAATGTGTTTCATATGCGTGACCGTTAAGGTATTATTTAGGTGAAGGTTTCAACTCAAAACTACCCAACCTGGTGGTTAACGATTTAGTACACATAACCAAACCCGCAGTGTTTAGAGTTGGGATATACATTTAAACATTTTCCTGGTTTAGGTTCCCAAGAGAGTGTAAAGGTTTTAACAGAAAGCAACATATCATGCAGCTTTATGGAAGTTTAAAGCATGTTTGCAAATATTGCAGCCCATCGAAAGAATTTGCATGTACAGGAAAGTTGTGGATGGAGACGGTTTGTGGAATTTTAAGTGCTCATTGTAGTAAACTTTTGCTTTATAGATTTGAAGGTACAGACTTATACAAGCAAGTTCACAAAATCAGGATTAGTTACAAACATTAAGTAAAATGAAGTTAAAATAAATTATTATTTTCTATTTGATATGTTTTTATGTGATTCCTCATTTTGCAGTGGTGCCTATAAAATAAAAGCCTTTTGCAGTGTTTGCTTCTTTTTCTTGGTTATATTACATGCCACCTTGGAAGGATTTAAGTATTTTAGACCATCTGCTGCCTCATATTCAGCCTCAGACCTAATGATGGATGTAAAGCCAAGGTCTAGGAGTGAAGAATATGGGGTCAAATTGACCACACAACCCTGCATTCTGACTGCCTGTCTTACAGAAGGTTTCAACCTGGCCCAATATCCTATGAACAAGAATAGCTATGAACAAGCTTATCAATTGGGGTCATGTTTACAATGAAATCTCTTTGGTTTATTGCAACCATTACTGCCTGTCAGTAATAACTAACAACTCTGGGTGGCTAGGTCCAGCTTTCCATTTCTAAGATGCATCTGCAAATCAGGCAATATTTTCATAGAATAACGGGTCACCAACGTGGGTGGGCTTCAAATCTGGTAGCTGACTACTACAACCCCCAGGATCCTAAATAATGAATTTGTTACAAATTGTTTCCTGATTGTAATGTTGACACCAATTTCAGCTGTAATGCTGAAAAAAAGTAAGATAAAGGTAGATAGGATTAGGAAGGGTGTGATTTTTATTTCCTGTGATGCCATACATCTGGTTACTCACTGATCCAAATGGAATTTTGATTGAAATGACCAGGTGTTGTTTTAGAAATTTCAGACATCTATTCCTCCCACAGACCCTGCTGGAACCACAATCCCTCCTTTGGGGCCAGAATCTTGAGACTAATTAGTAGTCATGCTTATAATAAAACAACTTAATGAAAATAAAACACTGAAATACTTATTCCCCATTATTAAGATGTCTGTTCATTACCTCTTCCAGAGCTAGGCATTGTTAAGATAATTACATCTGCTACATTATTCTAATCAGCCCTCCAAGGTGAAATTTTTGCAAAGAGTCTACTATTAGGGCCTTGGTTTTCCAATATTCTCCAAGTTTAACTTGCCACAAAATCCAATCGTTACCTCCCAGGAGACGCTCCCCTTTCCCAGCCCTCTCACCTCATACCCTGTCTTCCTAGTTAATGTTTCATAGCATCAGTCAGATGAATTATAAATTTCTGAAAGGCATATATAAGCATATGAGTATATATGGGGAAATAGCTTTCCTCTCCTTGTGTGTTCTCATTGAAGGCCAGAGGGGCTACATGACCACAAGAATAGCTTTAGCCTCAACAGTCAAGCACAGGGGTTTCTAATCAGGGCTCCCCACATGTCTCTTGATTTGTGGGTCAGCTCCTGCACTTATGAAATAATAGAGGGAAATAATAACATATATTCAAATCCAATTCTAGATCCTTTGATTTTTACTTATTTTAAAATCGCTGTTTATCATCTAGATACACCTAGTCTAACGTAATGTAATATGAGCTTTCCCAAATCTAATTTAGTCAATTAAATTCTAAAGGAAATTGGAAGGGATCTTAAAAATCATCACTTTACAATGAACAGGGCACTCAAGAGAGGCTAAGAAATCCAGTGCAGCTCATTCATAACCAAACTGGGATTTGAACTCAGAACCCAACACCTGGTTCCACAATTCTTAGCACCCCGTACTCTGTAGAGGAGCCCTCATGTGCATGGTTAACTCAGATGCATGAAATCCTGTGCCTTCAACCAAAAAACAAATGCACTTCACCAGGGGATGCTCCAGAGTGAACCTAAAAGGAATCATGAATCTCCATTTCGTCAATGAGTATGAGCTCCAAGTGCCTCACAGTGCATTTCTGAGTTGGTGGTCGGGTTGAAGATTTTCCTGGGTAATAGTGATGAGACAATTTCTAGCTTCTGTTCTCATTGATGTGAAGCCCTAGCTTCTGTGTAAACAGAAATAACCAATAGGCCTTTCTACCACCCTGGCTACATGTACTGTACTTCTTGGGCCCATTGAAGGATCTGATGGAAACTATAGACTCTCTCTTCAGAAAATGTACTTACAACGAATAATACATTAAAAAGTGCATGTAACTGGAGACTTCACATGCCCCAAAGTCCATTCACAGATCCCCTCTAACCATGCAAGAACCCCAAGTTTATAATAACTGAATTTGGTAACCTTACAGGTTTATCTCTCAGACTTTTATTTCAGCTGCATCTTATAGCACACAGTTTGATTTAAATGCCCACTTTTAATATCAAGGATGACTTTTCTTCCTATTATAACTGTATTATTTTTAATGTGATTAAAATTTAGCAAATCACTAGTATCTATACTCTTCTAGTCATTGTGCTAATGGTTTTTCTAACAGCTACATAAACTGAGGAATGATGAATACAGAGTTCTGATTTTCCACAGCAGCCACCCCACTGTCTGGATAAATCAGATTTAAACTACTTCTAGAATACAAAGAGAAGAAAATGAGAATGTATTGACCATCTAGAGCTGCACTGCCCAATACAGTAGACACTAGCTACATCTGGCTATTAAGCAGTTAAAATGTGGTTAGTTCAAATTGAAATGTTCTGAAAAAAATGGATTTCAATGACTTTGTATTTAAAAATGAAAAATATTTTGATAATTTTTATGTGGAAATCATATTTTGCATATGTTGCATTGAATAAAATACATAGTTATCACTAACATGTTTAAACTGTTTAATGTGAGTGCTAGAAGATTTTAAATTACATATGTGGCTTGCATTATACTTCTATTGGGCAGCGCAGATACAGAACATATCAGGCAAGTATATACTAAATGCTTGCCCTCGTGATCTTACTAAATCCTTGGGGCAGTTCTATGAGGCAGATGCTTTATCAATAGTTTAGACTCAGATTAAAAACTTTGCCCAGACAAGTATAAAAATGTAATCTGAATTCACACCTGCCTAATATCAAACCCTTTGCCTGTGCTTCCATCTCCTCCTCAAGAAGCAATTCAAAGTATGTTCAGGTTAGGTGAATATTTCTAACATATTCATGATCACAATAAAAGAAATTACTTCCAAGGAGCAGGCATTTCTAAATTGCAGAATATTCTAACTCTCCTGGCAAGAACATATGACAATGCATAAAAATCTAGGAATGTGGGAGCACCAGCTAAGTTTTTCATCTTTTAAATGGAAACAGGAAATCCCAAATAGCAAAAATCACAAATATGATGAGGTAGGATTATACATCGCCCAAGGAATACTAGTTGAAGAACTAATTAAGATTATAAACTGAAATATGAAAATTAACCAAGTAATTACCTACTGGTTGCCTTCAGAAGTAGGTTACAGGTTACTTGTTAGCAACACTGCCCAAAATCAAGGAAGCAAACACAACTCTGCCACAAACAATTGAGACTCCTACTTTTATTTCTGTTTGTCGGTTTTAAGTATTTTAGGATTTCTGTGGAGCATCAACTAATTAAAAAGAAAATCACTAAAACGGAGATAAGATGCAAGAATTCTCCTGGCAAATGCTGTAGTCTTCAATTTTGATTAAATGTGAATTCCCTAAAGCAGTTATAAAATAAAGTGTGGTTCTTTGGGTTTCATTCAGATGGGGTTTTTCTGCTTAAATGGTTCATTTTATTTAGCTTCCAGTTGCAACTAAACCTGAAAGGGCACAGTCCACAGGGACATGCAATTTGCCTATAATGTGGTTTTGCTTTTCAATGGCAGAATGCTGACCTCCGTGCACTCAGCATCTTTGAAAAATGAAAAATGGGAAATTAATGATCCCTCCTTCATTGGGGCTATTGCAAATTTAAACTTGCTCACCAATTATTAAGTCTCACCAAAATCCTCAAAAGCCAAAGGAAACTCCCTAAACCTCATCAGAGTCTCTCAAAAATATGCTACGAAGTAATTAAATTGTGTTTTCAGTTCCCTTGTGAGAACTACATGTCTCCCAAACATTGTAGGTTTGACTTAGCAACAGCTCTGTGGAATTATGACAACCTTATGCATCCAGGAACCATGTCAGAAACCAGCACAGACTCCTTCATCTACTAGTTACTATGTGCATACGCAGTCTAGGGCCATGGGGAGTTCTCTGGAGCTTACAGTCCAGTAAGAAGGAAAACAGTAATCCAGTCATCACACAAATACTTATGAAGTATCAACAAGACTGGAATAAGGGTCAGATATGAAAGTCAGTGCCACAGATTTCAGAGAGGTTCTCCCTTAAAAAGTTATGGTTGACCTGAGAGCCAATAGATGAATGTGAGTTAACTAGAAAGGTAGTTAAATAGAGAAAACAGCATGTGCAAAGGTCCTGAGGTGAGAGAGATGTGATCTATTTGAAACAAGACAGTCAGATGTGACTTGAGCTCAAAAACAATGGAAAAGAGAAGAGAGAGAACTGAGTGCAAAAAGAGAGCTAGGAAGGAACCACACTGTCTACCTGACCATAAATACCTATTCATTATGGCCAACCTTTATTGAGCATCTAACATGTGCCAGAAACTGTGCTAAGTCTTTTACATATACCAACTCCCTTAACCATAAATAGCCTACCTGATGGGTGAGATTGCTCTTATTTTGTGAATAAGGAAATAAAGAGCACTTAGAAAAGCAACCAACTGGTGCATGGCTGAAGGGAAAAGTGAAACCAGCTCTCTCTGACCCCACTGAATCACTGGGTTGGAAGTAGCATCCATGACAGGCAGCTTACAGGTTTTTACCATGGAAGAGGCTTATATATTTCAGCAGATACCTAGTATTTGGAGACCTTTGGTGGCTATTTTGTACCTGCCTTTTTCTACTCAGGACTAAATCTGTTTATAATCCTGTTGCTTCCCATTTTTATGCTACAGCAGATGATAACAGGTTTTGTCAATCCACTTCTGCAAAGTCAACCACACTGACTACTAGATAGAACATATTTCACAATCCAGGGTTCCATTTTCCATCATCCAACAGGAAACACACAGAGGCATAGGAAGAGAGATTCTTTGCCCTTGCTTACCAGCTACAGTCTGTGCCACCAGTTCTCACCACCACCCCTGAGAAGTAACTGACCTGATGAGATGGTCCCATTGAATGGATAATGAAGAAGGCAATTTAAGTGGTTTGAGGACCACAGC